ACAAACTTAATTTTGGATGCAATTAATCACGATTAATTTTAAGCTAAAAAAACTGCAGATTAACTATATTTACATATAACAACTTACATTTGATTGTAATTTATAACTTATTTAATTGTAATGCAATAACATGCACCAATAATTATTGTAGAAAGCACTATACAAACAGACTCGAATTGACTTGACCAAGTTATAGTTTAGGTAGTCTGTGCATAGTCAAACCATGTGAAAGAAACCCAATACTGCCAATTTGTCCCATAAACAGGCATTGGTGGCGGTGGTGCAGGAAGTGTGCAGTGAGTCAGTCAGTGTGCAGGTTATCATATCACATAACTCTGGAGGACCGCAGGCCACCCTGCAGAGCTCAATTGCCCAACGCTGTCAGTGTGCGTTCACGTCTGTCCGTTCTGTTACGGGAAAGCCAACCTCAACGTTTAAAGGTATAGTTCATTAAATATATGCTATAATAATAAATAGTGAGCATCAAGCATGGAATGATAACCATGTTCAAGGTATAGCGCGGTTTGGAAAAGTCAAGGTTTTAAAACTGTATACTGATGTATCTCTAAAGTATATGTTTTTTTTTTTTAGGACAAGAGTATCTCCAGCAGAAAAGATTTCCAAAGATGCCGTTTTAAATTCAAAATCTTTGTTTTTGAAACTAATGAAGACAGCAGAAGACATTGTTTAACTTTAATTATTTAGTCTGACATGTTTACTGCTCCAAAATATAATTTCAAGAGTTCACACTTAGATACTGCTTGACAACTGTAAGCAGGTTTGGCATGCTGTCCCGGGAGAGAACCCTGAGCTCGGAGATAGTTGAGCCCAGGGCTCCCGCCAGGTCCATAGAGCATGTGAGGGGAGTACGAGATCAGGTGGTTCTCGAGAGCTCCCCTTTTTTGTAAAGGACAAGAGGAGGAGAAAGGGGTGGATGCGGGGTTTCTTCGAAAAAACGAAGATAAGGGAGTAATATCTAGCTAGGCTACTTATGAGCCCCTTTCACACAGTGATACCGGTAAATATCTGGAAAATTTCCGGAACGACTTTACCGGTATATACAAAAAAGCGCTGTTCACACAGGCGAGGACGTTACGGAAATTTTCCGGAAAAGAGCGTTCACACATCCATTCCAAAATACCGGTAAATTCTGACATCATTCACCACAAATGAGCTTTAAACGGCTGCGCTTGTATTTGTAAACATTTGACTAAATTACAAACTCTGTGGATGATCAATATTGTGAACAACTTTCGCAGGATCACTTTCTCATGTCGAGATGTTCATAATATGTGCGTGTGCTGGCGCTCACAGGCTGTTTCATGGGCACACGCAAAGCTTGAAGGTAAACAATCAACGGCTTATCATAAGCATCTCATCGATGATTATTTGCACAGTTGGCATTAAGAAGAACATATAAACGTGATCTGACTAACTTCTAGCAGCTAAATGTGTCTGGAAAAATATTCAAAGGCTTTTATTCTCACAAACCGCGCGGACGTAAATGCGTCTGACTGTTGTGATTGGCTAAAGCAGACGTCTCACGTCAGCACGTTCTAGACGTGCACGCGCTTATTACGGGAATCTTCCTTCTGCATTCACACAGCGCAGCATTCCGGCAAATTGCCGGTAATGTTACAACTTCTCTTTCCGGAAAATAGCCAGAACGAATTTACCGGTATTTTCAAAAAGGACCTGTTCACACATACAAGCTTTCCGGAAAATAGCCAGAACGAATTTACCGGTATTTTCAAAAAGGACCTGTTCACACATACAAGCTTTCCGGAAAATAGCCAGAACGAATTTACCGGTATTTTCAAAAAGGACCTGTTCACACATACAAGCCTTCCGGAAAATAGCCAGAACGAATTTACCGGTATTTTCAACAAGGACCTGTTCACACATACAAGCTTTCCGGAAAATTGCCGGTAATTTTCCGGAAAGGTCTGTATGTGTGAAAGGGGCTATAGTGAGTTAGGATAGATCTGATTGGCTAACTAATGAGTGTAGATAGGTGGCCAGCTGCAGTCAATTATATCACGTGCTCCTCTCGAAATTAGTTTAAAAACTTCACAAATGTTTCCCAAATTAAAATATATTGTGTTCAAAGGGGAAAACAATTCTTGTTTTTTACCCAGACATTTAAATAGAATATATTTTAGAGCAGTAATCGCAATACCGTAATACCATGAAATTTTTATCCAAGGTTATCATATCATCAGAATCTCAATCCGGCCCATGCCTAGTGAACTTACAATAATAATAATGAGTAAATTTAAATTTTTGGGTGAACCATCCCTTTACTGCTTTTTTTTTCAGGATAGACACAAACCAGCAGCTAAAAGATTATATTTAGAGCTCTATCAAAAGCTTAATACAAAAAAAAACAACAACATAAAACTGGCACAATCATTGCGCCTTCAAACAAACAAGACACAAAAAAATTCCAATTTTCAAGTTGGAAACATGACGTGAACATTCTGTAGAGTTTGGCAGCTGTCTGTGGCTGTATATACTGATTGGTAGATACAGTAGCTTTTTATATTGATTATTAGACATGTTTAAACCATTCGACACACATCAATTCCCTTTACTCTTTAAAAAAAAAAAAAACTACAATTCTCATGCTTGAAATAAGAGTATTTATCACAGAAATATACTGTACACTCTTAAAAAATAAAGGTAACTTTTCATAAAGTACACGTGCGCCTGAAGGATCTATATTGGTACTGTACCTTAAATTAAAAATTGAAGAGGTAAACTTTTTAGGTAAACTATATGCCATTGTATGTATGCATTGAAGTGTATTCACCGTTTCTGGATATTATTTACAGTTAAATGTTTTTTTTATTACATTAAATGCACTTAAGTAGGACCTTAATATATATTTATACTATCATTATTACTATTAAACTACTTACACTTTCCTTGAAATGGGGTTTGCGATTGCCGAACGTAAACTGAATATGCGTAATTGTCTAATTATCTTGTTTCTGTTGAGACTTGAATGATATGAATTTAACCACTTTTGTAATTACAGATTCGTTATAATTAGGATGTTCACTTGTACTGCAGTTACAATTAGAATCGCATACTTCAAATATGCTTTATTATGTTAGTCAACACATAAGTGTGCTTCTTTAAGGCATGATAAATCATTTTAAAAGTGTTTTAATTTATTACAAAGAGCACTATTATCTGACCTTTTACTTCATGAATAGTAAAATATATGCATAGTACATTAAAAAAAAAAGAGTATTCAATGTAATTAAGAGCACTTTTATTTAGCTCCCCTAAAAAGAGGTTTCTGGATGGTGTTTCCCTGAATTGGCGTTGTGGATGAGAAGGAAAGCACATCTTTGAAAATCCCAAGAGGGTCAGACAGACAACAATTACCTAAAACAGAGCGGCCTGGACTGTGACTAATGACCTACTCAATTACAGCTTTTACAACCACTGAGAAAACTCTGCTTTATTGTCTTTCCTCCCTGAAACAATGATCCCGAGGTGTGTGTGTGTGTGTTTGCATGGAATCAGTGCAGTAGCCTTATATAAGACATCCTTAATCTTATTAAACATAAAATAATACTACTTTTTGTGTAAAATTTGTCTTTAAAACACAATTCTACATATAATTAAGAAAATGTTGCTCTTTAAAACAGCTACACAGCTTCATCAGATAGATTTATGAGATTTTGTTACTTAAACCACAATAATTATTCGTTCAAAAACGAATTATGAACATGCTTAGCGCTAGTATAAATAATTCAGATGAGATTTAATATTAATTAGCGATATTAAGCAGTATTTATCAACAATACAGCGCGAAATGTCGCTACAATTATCATCACATACAGTTAGCATGAAGTCAGTCAGGTTTTAAATGCTCTTTTTGGAGTAGATTTAAGTCATGACATGACATTAAGACTTAACCCCTGAGGGAAATATGACAATTTCCAACATTAGGATAGTCATTGATTATCAAATAGCTAAATACCAACAATTTTAACAAATTTATTTGATAGCTATTGTTGATAAATTGAACAAGCGTTTGTACACAAACAAACAGTGTACGCTAATCAAAGTCGATTTTACGGTACGATTAACAGGTGCACGACAGACAGACAGACCACCAGATAGATAGATAGATAGATAGATAGACAGATAGATAGATAGATAGATAGATAGATAGATAGATAGATAGATAGACAGACAGACAGACAGACAGACAGACAGACAGACAGATGATGGATGGATGGATGGATGGATGGATGGATGGATGGATGGATGGATGGATGGATGGATGGATGGATGGATGGATGGATGGATAGATAGATAGATAGATAGATAGATAGATAGATAGATAGATAGATAGATAGATAGATAGATAGATAGATAGATAGATGATAGACAAAAACATAGATAGATAGATAGACAGACAGACAGACAGACAGACAGACAGACAGACAGACAGACAGACAGACAGACAGACAGACAGACAGACAGACAGATAGATAGATAGATAGATAGATAAATAGACAGACAAAGACATAGATAGATAGATAGATAGATAGATAGATAGATAGATAGATAGATAGATAGATAGATAGATAGAAAAATACATAGATAGATAGATAGATAGATAGATAGATAGATAGATAGATAGATAGATAGATAGATAGATAGATAGATAGATAGATAGATAGATAGATGATAGATAGATAAAGACAGACAGACAGACAGACAGACAGACAGACAGACAGACAGACAGACAGACAGACAGACAGATAGATAGATAGATAGATAGATAGATAGATAGATAGATAGATAGATAGATAGATAGATAGATGGCGTCTTCGAGTATTGTTTACAGCTTACGTCACACACATTTTCAATCCCCCCGAATCATTGTCAAGTTGAAAGCTGGACATTTTACCCTTCCTAAACAACAAAACTTGATGTTTTCAACAGATAGAGGTTAAAGAAGTCATAAAACTTAC